CCCACCCAGCGATGGGAAGCTTGTACCCATCGATGGGTAGGTAACCGTTGGCTTCAAAACTGAAGGAAAATTGGCTTACCAGCGATGGGTAAGTTCCAAACATCGATGGGAAGCCAATATTCTGCAGATCCCAAATCTTTTCAATCCCATAAATCAAGCCAATCACCCCTTTAATGCATTGGACCGTTGGAGCCTATTTTGGCACTATAAAAAGGGGTGTTTGGGTCTGCTTTACACACCAATTCACTTCACAATATTCATACTTTCATTGCATTCAAATAACATCATTTTCCATAGCTTTCTAGAGCCAATTTGTGTGAAGTTTGAGTTGTTCTTGAGCGTATATATTTTACTCATATCCACTCTTAAGGAGAGTCTTGTTCTTGAGTGTCTTAGTGTTGTATACACGTTAAGGGAAGCTTGTTTCCCTTGGTTGTACGAAGGAAAGGTATTTTCCTTCGGGTTGAAGTCTTGGAGTGCGGTATCTCCGAGCAAGGTTGTTGAGGCTCGTGGGACTCGAGTTCTCAGGTTGTAACGGTTTGTTAAGCACCCGTAAGCTTAACGGAAGTAGTGTAGCTCGAGAGAGTCTCTCGGGAGACTGGATTAGCCACACGTTGTGGTGAACCAGTATAAATCTTGGTGTGCTCCCTTTACGCTTTCTACGCTCTTTACTTTTCACGTTCTTAATTTTTTATTCCTGCGATTTCTACGATCAAACGCTATTCACCCCCCCTCTAGCGTTGGTCACTTATTCTAACATTTCGAAGTTTAATAAAAATGGTGTTGGCAAATGCAGAAGCAATATATAAAACGCAAAAATAAAAGCGTAAATAAAATGCACACCGAATTTATACTGGTTCGGGAACTCCCTACTCCAGTACCTCGAGGCTCCTCCTCAAGGATTTCCAAATCCACTAAGTTCTGGCCTCTTGAACTCCGTCAAAGCACAACACTAGTTTGGAAAACAACCCTTGCCAATAGGATTCACTCCGAGATTTCACTACGGCTATCTCGAACCTGTTGAAACACGGGCTTGTCACGTTTTCGTACTAAAGCCGTGTTCGTTTCTGTAACAGGTTTTGATAATGCCAAACCGCCGTGATCAAGACAAACATTGAATATACAAGGTGAAGAACGAAGATAAAGAACAAGAGCTAAAAGAGACCAAGAACGAAGACCGCAGTCTTTAGTATTGTTGAGTCGGTCCTAATTGTGATCACGACCGACCCAACCCTCACGCACTGGCTCTTTAGGCTAAAATCTTTCATTGCATTTCTTACATCATAAAAATGTTTTTCAAACTTTTTCAATTCATTAAAAACACTTGGTGTTCGCTCAAACCAAAAACCAAGCCATTCAGCGTTCGGCTTTCAGAAACCGGCATTCGGCTTTCAGTTATCGGCATTGGTTTTTGGCGTCCGAACCAACCAAGTGGTTTTCAACATTTTATGATTGGTTTTCACTCTTTGGAATGTTCAAACAGTTTTCCAACAAAAACACTTTGAAAACCACCTTTCACTTTTGGTCGTTTGGCAAAAACCACGATGAATGGTACAAACTTAACTAGCCGCGGTTTTTACTTAAATGAAGTGGTTTTCGAGTCTTTTTGTGTGGGAATTGTTTTTGAATGCGTTTAAACGGTTCTCCAATCAAAACATCATGAAAACCACATTTCGGTTTTATCTTTTGGTAAAACCCACCTGTGTACGGCATTGACTTGGTCAACCGTGGTTTTTACCTTAACGACGTGGTTTTCAACTTACAAAGCTTGTTTTGACATCACAATACATTAAATAAGTGTTTTAAATACTTATTTTTTACTTTGGAGAACTTTGCATTTTTCGGTTATGTTTCAGCGCCGGTCGGCTAGGCCATGGTTCTGGGCTACCATCTACCCAGCGATGGTAGATATCACCCAGCCATGGGTAAGTGATTCCGGGATTCCAGAATCATGCCACCCAGCGATGGGAGATATTACCCAGCGATGGGTAAGAAGCCTTCAGCCCAATTGAATTCCAGAACCATGCCAAACAACGATGGGAAGCTCTACACATCGCTGTTCAAGCCTTGGTCCAACATTATCACAAGGCAGAATGCCCTTACCCAGCGATGGGAGATATTACTCATCCATGGGTAAGTGACTTCCCAGTGATGGGAGGATATTACCCAGCCATGGGAAGGCATGACCGTTGGAAGTCATTTAAGGTTGATTCTTTCCTTGTTTGGAAGTCAACCTCCCACCCAGCGATGAGAAGCTTGTACCCATCGATGGGTAGGTGACCGTTGGCTTCAAAACTGAAGGATAACTGGCTTACCAGCGATGGTTGAGTCTAAACATCGATGGGAAGCCAATATCATGCAAATCCCAAATTTATTCAATCCCATAAATCAAGCCAATCACCCCTTTAATGCATTGGTCCATTCGAGCCTATTTTGGCACTATAAAAAGGGGTGTTTGGGTCTGCTTTACATATCAATTCACTTCACAATATTCATACTTTCATTGCATTCAAATAACATCATTTTCCATAACTTTCTAGAGCCAAATTGTGTGAAGTTTGAGTTGTTCTTGAGCGTATATATTTTACTCAATATCCACTCTAAAAGAGAGTATTTGTTCTTGAGTGTCTTAGTGTTGTATACACGATAAGGGAAGCCTGTTTCCCTTTGGTTGTACGAAGGAAAGGCATTTTCCTTCAGGTTGAAGTCTTGGAGTGTGGTATCTCTGAGCAAGTGTTGTCGAGGCTCGTGGGACTCGAGTTCTCAGGTTGTAACGGTTTGTTAAGCACCCGTAAGCTTAACGGAAGTAGTGTAGCTCGAGAGAGTCTCTCGGGAGACTGGATTAGCCACACGTTGTGGTGAACCAGTATAACTCTTGGTGTGCTCCCTTTACGCTTTCTACGCACTTTACTTTTCACGTTCTTAATTTTTATTCCTGCGATTTCTACGATCAAACGCTATTCACCCCCCTCTAGCGTTGGTCACTTATTCTAACAGAACCGTTTACAATGAAGATTTAACGGCTATCTTCTACCGTTCCCCCAAGGATTTCAAAGGCTATCCTTAAACCTTTACCCAAGGATTTATACGGCTATCCTCGACCAATGCAATATGAGAATTTAACGGCTATTCTCGACCGTATAAAGATGTGTTTGAAGAACACAAACAAGAGTTCTACACAATGGCTTGAATATAAAAATGAAGAACAAAACTTAGCCGGTGTAGAAGGAAAGTATACTCTCTCAAAAATACAATTCAAACTTATGAATATGAGAGTATATAACTAGAAACACAAGCTCAAAGTGTGTGTATAAAAATTAGGAATTTAAGGCTCTTAAAATAGCCAAAAATATTGAAAATAATTAATAGAAGGATGAACACACTTGGAATAAAAAGAGAGGATGTTTAGAGCTTTGTTTCTTGAATAAATATGAAGGATTAGGCTTGTATTTATAGTGGAAGATGTTAATTAGCCGTTGGGAGGTGATTAGGATTGATTAAAGTCAAAATCACAAATCAGGAACAGTAATCCAACGGTCACGGTAGGGGGGTCCCGTCTAGTCGGTAGGAGGGTCCCGTCCATACAGTAGGGGGGTCCCATGCTTACGGTAGCTAGGTACCTTCTCAGGCCAATACTCTGTGGCGGTACCTATCTTTTACGGTACCCCTTACGGTAGGGGGGTCCCGTCCACACGGTAGGGGGGTCCCGTCCACACGGTAGGGGGGTCCCGTGCATACGGTACCTAGGTACCTTATGACCATTTTGACAATTTTTTCATTTTTGTCCAAATCATTTCCAATTTTGTTTAAAACCTTTTGGATGTTTGAAAATGATTATAAAAGGGTTTTAAACATATTTTGTGAGTGTTTTTGAGGTTGTGAATGTAGGTATATAAAATCATATCCTTACATTGGTTTCTACCTATATTCTACGCTAGTTTGGTGTTTTAACTTCATTCTTGAGTACCGAATCTTAATAAATTCTTATTGTACCTGAAACACTTAAACAAACGTCAAGCTCTTATATTGTTTGTTAACATCAAAACATGAGGCTTAGCAAACCAAGGCTAACAATCTCCCCCTTTTTGATGTTGACAAACAATATATACTTCAAAGTGAGTTAGGCGGGAGTAAAATAATGAAGCAAGCAAGCTCCCCCTAAGAATAAGCATATTGAAAATACTCACTTTGAACTTTTTCTTGTGTTTATTAAAAGTTTAAGTTAGATGCAAAAATTTACACAAGAATGCACTCAAGTCAAGTTGCATATGCACCACTTTGAAGTAAACATCTTCTCCCCCTTTTGTCAAAATCAAAAAAGGCATTTTGAAAATTTTAACTATGTATAACTTCTTGAAACCCTCCCCCGATCAAAATGAATTTTAAAAAATGATAGTTTGGAGACCATTAGGCAAAAGGTGCAATTACAACAAAACTCCCCCTAAAATGAAAACTCCCCTTAAAATGATGCAAGTTTAAAAACTTTAATTTTTTCAGGGATTTTTAGGGATTATTTTCTAAAAAGCATGATTTAAAGATGAATTTTTTTAAAAAAAAATTATTTAATCATGCAAACCAAGGCTAAAGTAAATAAAAGCACGTATGGGATAAGGTTTTATTTTTAAAAATAATTAAAACCAAACAAAATAATATCTTATCCCAATAAGTGAGAAGAATTTACCTTGTCTTATGTCGCTCTTTCTTTGGCTTTTTATACGTTTCTTTCCTCTTCACATACTTCTTCCATTTGAGGAAATCCATATACTTCTTTCTCATTGCCTTCTCTTCGTCTTCTTCATCATCCGACTCTTCCATAGAGCTTGAGTCACTTGAATCATCACTTGATTCACTTGACTCTTCACTAGACGAGTCTTTTGAAGCTTTGAAGGCGTTGGTAAGCTTGGGATTTTCACGCATTTCTTCCTCTTTGATCTTTCTCAACAAAAGCTCGTGAGAATATAAGGAAGACCAAATGTGGGCGGTTTCGGCCTTATCACATTTGGGTAATAAATCTACGATACTACTATGCCATTCTTTAGGTAAAGAAAATAGAATTTTCGTATTAAGCTTGGAAGTAGTATACGTCTTACCCAACTTAATCAATTTATTGACAATCTCGTTGAACCTCTTGTTCATGTCTTGGATTGTCTCACATTGCCCTTTCTTGAAGGATTCGTACTCCAAGTTTCCTAGGGCAATCATCGTTTGCTTGGTTGAGATGTCTCCTTCGTGTGTGGCTTCTAGTAGATCCCATACTTCCTTGGCCGTTTTGCATGTACTAACTCTTGCAAATTTGTCGGGGCCAAGAGAGCAATGAAGGATATTGATTGCCTTTGCATTCATGGATAATTTTCTCTTATCCTCCGAAGATAAACCTGCAAGGCTACCACTACTCGGCACAAATGGCCCGTGAAGTACATTCAACCATAAATCATAATCAATTGATTGAATAAAATATTCCATCCGCATTTTCCAATAAGAATAATTTTGGCCATTAAAAAACGGAGGGCGGTGGATGCTTTGAGAGTCCATTTGGGCCATTTTTTAATAAATTTGAATTTAAAGAAAATAATAAAATTTTGAGTTTAAAAAT